AATATGATATATATGTAATGTATATATTATTATTCTTGTTTGTTTTTCAAGACAGGGTTTCCCTGTGTAGTCCTTGCTGTTCTGGAACTCCCTCTGTAGACCAGGCTGGTCTCAAATTCATAGAGATCTGGCTGCCTCTACCTCCTAAGTGCTAGGGTTAAAGCTATACGCCCAGCTTTTTATTTATTTATTTTCGAGACAGCTTCTATGTATCCTTGGCTGACCTGGGAACTTACTATGTAGATCAGGCTGGCCTTGAACTCACAGAGGCTGGCCTCTGCTTCTTAGGTGCTAGGATTAAAGGCTTGTACCACTACCCCTAGCCCTTATATTTTATTTTAATTACATGTACATATATATGTGTCTGTCTGGAGAAATGTGCACATAAATGCATGTGTCCATGGAGGCCAGAAGAGGGCGATGGCTCCCTATAGTTGGAGTCACAGGTGGTGGCACGCACCCATCTGCATACTGGAAACCAAATTTGTCTCCTCTGCAAGACCAGTACGCTCTCTTCACCACCGAGTCATCTCAGCCCCCTCTAGCATTTTTAAGTCCAGAAAACTGTATGCGAGAGGAACCTGAGCACTGTGTCTTGGGCTGCAAAAGTGTCTGGCCGTGAGGGAGTTGAGGACAAGTGGAGGCCAACTGAAGTGGCCTTTGAATGAAGAGGTGGCTCTGAAAGGCAGATGCCATGAGGATCAAGGACTCCATATTTAGTGGAGGAGGTGATCTATAAGAAATAGGTGATGTTTGAGCAGATACATATCTGGACAAGGGTGGGCGCAAAGGCCATTGCAGAGAGGGTTCAAATGGGAGGAGAACAGTGGAGATGGGGGTCTGGCAACCTGTCAAAGCATCTGATGGCACACAGGGACAAAGAAATGGGACAGTTGCTAGATGAGATGTCTCAACGACTGAGCAGTGTCGGAGGCTGCGTATTGCTCTTACTAAGAGGCAGGAGAAGGTGAGGACTAGAGATGGAGATCACTGTTTGCTTAGCATGTGCAAAATTCTGGTTTCTATTTTTTTCTTGTTTCTTTCTTTCCTTCCTTCCTTCCTTCCTTCCTTCCTTCCTTCCTTCCTTCTTTCTTTCTTTCTTTCTTTCTTTCTTTCTTTCTTTCTTTCTTTCTTTCTTTTGTTGTTATTTGAGACAGGTTTCTCTGTGTAACAGCCCTGACTGTCCTGGAACTCACTTTGTAAACCAGGCTGACCTTGAACTCACAGAGATATGCCTGCCTTTGCCCCCCAAGTGTTGGAATTAAAAGCACGCGCCTTCACTGCCCGCCCGGCAAGATTCTGGATTTAACTCCCTGCACTGCAATAAGGGGCTGTGGCTGGGCAGACACTGACAACTGAGAAAGGCTGCTAGGAATCTGTAGACATGGTCCCTCCCATTTCAAGTTTCTTGGTGAGAAACAAGCAAATTATCAGCTGCAAGTGAGAGTAAGAAACAGATGACAGGCCGGGTGGTGGTGGCGCACCTTTAATCCCAGCACTTGGGAGCAGAGGCAGGCGGATCTCTGTGAGTTCGAGGCCAATCTGGTCTGCAGAGCAAGTTCCAGGACAGGCTCCAAAGCTACAGAAAAAACCCTGTCTTGAAGAAAAAAACAAAACGAAACAAAAAAGCCACATGACAAAAGCGTGAGGAAGGCAGCGTAGGAAGCAAGCAGCCATCTGGTGGCAGTGGGAGACCTGATCTGAAAGGGCAAGAATCTGAACTTGGTCCTTAGGCTCCTGCTTAGTATGGCCTCTGTCCGTCTGTCCAGCCTCGCCCCCTCAACCCATCTCTGCCTTACCTTCTAGCTGCATTGGTCACCTTCCGTGTTGTAGACAACTCCAAGACTTTCCCAGCTTTTCCTCTGCCAGCGTAATTTTTCCCTCACTGGTTGAAGGGCCGATAAGACACCTGTGGATGGATGTTGTTGAAATTGAGAGACAAGCAGTGCGTGAGGGGTGGCAAGGAGAGGCTGGAAGGAGGGCGTAGAGCAGGACAACAAGCTGGGAGTTATTGACATTTTTCTCTTTTAAGTTTCTGCTATTACCAAGTGCATGTTCGTGCTAGGAAATACATATCTGATACAGACAGCAGGAAAGGTGACTAGTAAGGAGGTCGTCAAGGAAGGCCTTACTGCAAGGGGACAATTGAGGAGATCGATGAGCCACATAGTCTCATGGAGGAAGCGGACTGTCGCTGCAGGAGACGGCAGGACGCAGAATCGTGCAGGTCATGCTCAGTGTGTCAGAGTGGTTGGAGCAGAATATGGCTGTGAAAAGAAGAAAGGGAGAGGTTGGGAGGGCCTGAGCTTACTACTTCTGCCGGATCTCTTTATGCCAAGTGACTTGGAAACTGGGGGCTCTGCTTCTCCTCATGTTTTAGCAGACTCTTGAGCTGCTGTGTCAGAAACAAGGTTTCGGGCTCCTCTCTGCCAGGTATAAGCGACGTTCCAGGGCACTGAGAGCAGACAGCCTGCGGAGGACAAGCCAAGAGCTGGACTGAAAGGCTGGAGAAAGTTGAAAGGAAGCAGTGACCTCAGGAAGAGATGGGGGCTTTGAAGGCTGTAGGGCAATCAGAGATGTCTGGGTGCCTCTTAATTTCGGGGACCTCTGAACCATAGAATGGGGTCAAAAGAACAGGGAAGCTGCTGTGGGTGTAGTGATACAGGGCCTGTCCAGGAAATTCCAGGCTCTGCTGGGTGGAGGGCGATAGAGGGAGGTGTGAGGCCGCAGTAAACGCAATGGCCAACTCATTCCTACCAAGTGTTGCTGGGAAGGACAGTGGGTTTTGTGCTTGGCTGTAATGAAAAGTATATTTACAGAACTATTCTGGGGCGGTAACCTCTGTTCTGAGGGTCCTGGTATTGGGGCTTGGGATGATCACCCAACCACCAGGGCATGGATATTGTAGGCTGCCTTGAGCATGGTCCCCCAGGGTTCAGGTAGAGCTCCAGCTTGGAACCAGTGTCACAGAGATGCCCTCCTCTGGGGCTCTCAGCTGGAGCCTACTTTGACCAGAGAGTATGTCCTTGTCTATCCAGCTTTGTTTCCAAAAGGGCCCAAGAGTGCCTCTGATGGGGGCAAGACTGGGATGCCTGGAGCAGGTCTGTACATGAGGAAGGCCCCCCACCTGTGTTTGTTTACATATATCCTTTCCGTGTGATCAAGTTAATATGTAATAGAGGAGAAATTATCAAAATTATTCTGCCATCTCCTAGTTACCACCTGTGAGAAGTTTTATGTCTTGAAACTAAGGAAAGAAATCCCAGCAACAGTTTGAGGAAGCCTTTCTGTGTTCTCCACTTGGCCCTTCCTCCCCTTTTGTGGCCGACTCCCTTTGCTTTCTCTGGTTGGCCACCAGATGTCACTCATGTCGCTCTGGTCAGCGTTTTAGGGCTTAACGTGGTTTGACCAGAGGACATTGGCAGGTTTTTCTGAGATTCTGGGTAACCTAGCCCTCCCTTCGGGGTTCTGAGTCCCTTCTGTTCTTGGGCTGGGGCAGTGCCTGACTCTGGGTACTCCCTGTCCTGGTCAGGCCAGAGGAAGTAGGTGTTGTTAGGACCCAAACTTGAAAGCGAGCAGAGAAACCTGCTGTGCTGAGCAGTGGCCGAGGCTGGGGAGGAAGCCGGGAAATGTGAGACAGGGACTTGGGAGCCTGAAAAGTCAGTGGGAGGGCAGAGTGATGGTGTGATCTGAACCTAAGAAAAGCACGGGGGAAAACAGGTTTTTCCCTCCCTGGAATTGTCCTTTCAAAGGAGAGCTAGTGGCTAGCTCAGTAAGTCTGGGAGTTAGATGTGAGGGACTTGGAGAAAAATGACTCTGGAAGTTAACTTTCCCCCTCGTTCTTAGTTCCACCACTCCCAAGGGAGCTTTTTGTGTGTGTGTTTTTGCAGGACTGGGGATTGAACCTAGAGTTGCCGGCATGCTAGACAAGTGCCCTGTCACTGAGCTATATGCCCAGTCCTTAAAACGCATTTTTACTTTTTGTTAGTATTATTATTTATTATTATTTTGTTTCTGTTGCTGTTTGAGACAGGGTCTCACTGTGTAGCCCTGGCTAGCCTGCAACTTGCTATATAGACTAGGCTGTTCTTGAACTTCAGGCCTTCTGCATCAGCTTCCAAAGGAGCTAGGATTACAAACCTGTACCATCAGACCAGCCCACAGGGCCTTTGTTAATCTTTTTGTCAGCATGGGCAACCTAGGTTTGAGGATTTTCTCTGGCATTAGCGGAAAAAGCAAGCACCAAGATTCTCACCTAGGTCCTGTCAGAGACCTGGGAGATGGTGTGTATGTAGTTTGGGGGTGACAGGTGTTAAGTATTTTCTGACCGAAAAACCTCTCTGCCAACGCAATAATCCTAATCAAACCAAATTAGACCGAATTAGAAGATACTCAGGTTTAAATATGCCAGCACTCCCGGGTGGCACCCTGGAAAAACACGGAGGGGATAAAAGGAGAACTGGAATGACCACTGGAGAGGGAAAAGGGGAGACCATGTGTTCATTCTCTGGGGGGCAGTTTAGATAGCCTTGACTCTCCCTGGGGAGGGGTCACTGTTTGGCGGGCTTTCTTGGAGGTGGAGTCTGGACTGTGGCCACTCCCAGGGGAGGGGACTTATGTCAGGAGCTGGGGTGAAGTCCCCAGCCAAACATTCCAGGATTTTTTGAATAAGGATATTAGGGGCTGCGGTGACGCTTTTAACTAAACACTTTTTTAGACTCCTTGTATGGAGGATGCCAGGGGGCGGGGGTGAAGCCCCCAGCCAAACAGCAGGGGAGGTGGTTTTTAAGTCTTCATGAGAGGAAAGCAAAGGCACGATGCCCTGATGAGGTTTTCCATCAATGTGTTCCCTCGTCCTGCAGACCCATAGGAAAACCTGGCCTTCCTCTTGCTGTAGGGGTAGAAATTAGTCTGTTCAGCACTAGGCCTAGCATTGGAGACCCGCCTGATGTCTAGCCTTTCTTGGTCAGGGGCTCATCTGTCTGGTCTCTTCCTCACAGCTCCTCCAATGACACGGTACAGCCCTGTGTTTGCCATGCAGCACATTGTGGGCGTGCCCCATGTACTGGTACGGAAAAGCTTCTTGGGAATGGACCTCCCTGTGACAAGGACTCTGTGCAGTCCCAGTCCCAACCAGCCCAGAGAAAAGAGACCAGAGGCTGCAGCCTTAGGGTTGTATCACCGCCTCCCCGTGCTGGGAAGAACACTGGGCCACACCATTCAGCAGCAAGCGGCCTCCACAGCCAAGGCTTGGTGGGACAGATACGAAGAGTTCGTGGGACTCAATGAAGTTCGAGAGGCCCAGGGGAATGTCACCGAGGTGAGGAGAGGAGCTAGGGTGCTCGCCTTTGCCTTTGTTTGGGGAAACAGGACTTGGGCTCCCAACAAAACAGCTCCCAGCGGCACATGTGATGACAGCTGGGAACGGTGTGGACGCTGTTTGAGACAAGGCCTTACGTATCCTTGACCGGCCTTGGAGTCCCTCTGTAGCCGAACTCCTGATCTTCCTGTGTCCATCTCCTGAGCTTGAGATTTCAGCTGTGTGCTACCACAGCTGGCCTTCTTTACTTTCTAAGGCAGGGTTTTGTCCAAAGTCCAGGCTGGCCCAGAACTTACAGTATATTCTAGCTAGCTGCGAACTTGTGATCTTCCTGCCTCAAAGCTGAGATTATAGGGTCACCACACCCAGCTCAGACTTGCCTTGTCTGAAATGAACATCACTGGTAGAAACATTTGACTCTTTCTCACGCGGAAATCTGGGTCTGTTGTACTGGGGTGAAGGTCTCTCTGTAATTATACCCACTGCTCTCTGTTAAAATGTCCTAGCTAATGATTCCCAAGTTGTGTAAGGACAGCAAATTGTCCTTTGTGGATGGGCTATTTTACCTATGGTGTGAAGACAGAGAGCACTGGGAAACATTGTATTGGGAAGTAGACGGAGCCACCTGTGGTTTTCAAGTCCTTGGTGGCAGCGGGAGTCCATCCCATCGCCTGCCTCCACCCAGGTACAGAGCAGTGTGGCAAGGGAGGAGGAAACTGAGGCTTAGGCACATGGTGTCCCTTTTCCTTGGATACTGTTTGTATCAGTGAGTTTTGCTGAGTTGAAATCTCCAGGGCCATCAGCTGGAGGCTGTAGTGATGCTTTGGTGGTGGTACTACAGGCCTCAGCAGCACACTGGAAACAGTGTAAGAACATTGGTTCCTCATGGTGATTTCCATCAGACAAGAGCTGGCTGGTATTAGTGGACAGAGATTGTGTCACTGTTTGCTTTTTGCAAGTTTCTCAGGGGCATGTTATTTCTGCTTGAATGAATAAATCCAGTGCTTCACATGGGCGTGGCCTATGGCTGCATGTTGAGCATGCCAGAGTGAGCCGGGATTAAGGTCCAAGAACTGTTTCTACCTTTCACAGTGACACCCCAGTGACCTCTGTTCAGCTGTGGCCTTGTTAGCTGTGAAGCTGAGCCCTTATGGGGATGAACAAAGGGCCCGATGGCATCTGACGTTCTCTCTGCAGGCAGAGAAAGTGTTCATGGTGGCTCGTGGCCTTGTCCGAGAGGCTCGGGAGAATTTAGAGACACAGCAGGCTAAGCTGAAGGAGGTGAGGGACCGTTTGGATCGAGTCTCCAGGGAGGACAACCAGTACCTGGAACTGGCCACTGTGGAGCACCGGCTGCTGCAGGTGAGCCCCTCAGGAAGCAGCCCCTGGGCACCTGCACATGGCCGTAGGCCCCAGCACAGCAGGCTGTGGGGGAGTTCAACCCTGACTGTTAATTAGAAGCTCCTAAGGTGGCCATGGCCCCAGGCTTCCGGAGCCTGTGTGCCTGCTCTTTCCTGAGTACTGGGCGAACAGTCCAGCGAAGGACTGGCACCCGAATGACTGAAGAGCGTGTGGAGGTGCTGGCTCAGGGAATGCCACCCACTTATTTCCTAGAGACATGTTCTGCCTGACTGCCCAGTGGGAGGATCTTGTGACGCCTTTCACACTCCCCCCCCAGCCAGGTGTTTTTTGTCTTCTTCAGGCAGCAGGTGTTTGTGGAGCCAGGGGCAGGGGAGTGGCCCCGTGCCACTGGCTGCAGTCACAAGCTCCTGGTTGCTGCCTGACACCACTTTGCTCCCACAGGAAGAGAAGAGGCTCCGAGCAGCATACGTGCGTGCAGAAGACTCAGAGCGGGAGAAGTTCTCTCTCTTCTCCGCAGCTGTGCGGGAGAGTCATGAGAAGGAGCGCACGAGGGCTGAGAGAACTAAGAACTGGTCCCTCATTGGGTCAGTCCTCGGAGCTCTGATCGGTGTGGCTGGCTCCACCTATGTTAACCGTGTCCGGCTACAAGAACTGAAGGCCTTACTCCTGGAGGCACAGAAAGGGCCTGTCAGTCTCCAGGAAGCCATCCGTGAACAGGCTTCTAGCTACTCCCTCCAGCAGAGAGACCTCAAGGACCTTATGGTGGATCTGAGGGGCCTGGTACACGCTGGGCAGGGCCAGGGCTCCGGGTCACCAACAGGGTCCTCTTCTACCCAAGGGAAAGACATAGAAACCCTTTCAGCTGCCCTGAGAGAGCAGCTCAGTCATTCCCGGCAGGTCCACTCCTGCCTAGAGGGTTTACGAGAGCAGCTCGATGGCCTGGGAAAGACCTGCAGCCAGATGGCTGGGCTGGTTCAGCTTGCAAAGGCTGCGGCACATCCAGGCCCGGAACCAGCAGATGGGAGCCTGCCCAGCTCTTTGCTGGAACAAGGGAGTGTGATCTTGGCCCTGTCCGATACAGAGCAGAGGCTAGAAGCACAAGTCAACAGAAATACTATCTGCAGCACGCTGGTCACCTGTGTGACCTTTATGGCCACGTTGCCTGTACTCTACATGCTGTTCAAGACCAGTTAGCCCTGGGGTCCTCCTTCAAAGGGGCCTAAGGGTGAATGTGGCTTTTGTTGGTGTTATAATCAATCTTGAGATGCATACAGCCTCAGACTGAGTGTCGTCTAAGGAGCTGACCAGCAGGTGTTTTTTATTTTGTAGGTAATACTTATTTACATAATTATCAAAACTTTCTGTAAATGTTCAATTAAAATATCTAAGAATTTGTATTATTTAAAAGATTTTCACATCAGACTCAGTTTTGTCATTGACTTCAGAAATCTGGGATGTGCAGTTCTGCCTGAAGTGAGAGAACTCACCCTTTAGTCCTTTTCTTGCCCCATCTTAGTCCTAGCTCAGGGCTGTGTTATGTTAGATGAGGTTAGCCCTGAGGTCTAAATTCTCACTTTGAGTATCCTGACTTACCCTCTGCTTGCTGGGCCTTCCTGCCTAGGGGTTCAGGTGAACAGAACCTAGCCTGGTGCATAGCTTTTTGCCATGGGGTAGGAAGGAGAGGAACTTTCTGGTTTTGATGTTGAAGTGTGCTCAGAAGAAAAGAAGGAAGAGATGGAGGACATCATTACAGATCCATGGTTTGTCTGCATCCTTGATGCCCTGGTGCAAAGTACTCCCCATGTAGCCTGGGCCCTCAAAAGGCATGGGCCTAGTTCAGACCCATACTGGTAGCAGCATGGAGCTGAGAACTCTGACCTCTTTTCAGAGGAACAGTGACCCTTGACTTCCTCAGTTAAATGGTGTGGGTGGCCTTGTGTAAACAGAATTTGTGAAGTGTTGTTCTGTGCCTGAGTATTAGAGGTGTAGAACCATAGTGGGGAATCAATTTAATACCACTCCCCAGAGTGCGCCTGCACCCCAGAGGGTACCCTCACCCCCGAGGTCACCACAGCTGTACACTTCAGGTGGGAGCTGCTTTGTGCCTGTGGAGCCAGAAGTGTTCCCACCAGGAGCCCTCTACTCTTGGATGCTGTGCTCACCTTAAACAGCAAGCATGGCCCAAATGATTCCTCAAGTTCTTTGAACCTCTGAGAACCTAGTCTCTTGGTCATTTGGACACTTCGTTCTCGGTATACAGTGGTTCCCAAGGGTGAAACAACCCCAGCACCTAAGGGTGTTCATATTCCTGAAGGGCCAGGAAGTGTTGTATCTGTACGGATGAGGCCAGGCTCCCCTCTGGAATAAAGTTAGCTCCAAGGAGAATGCACTTGAGTAAGTGGGTTTAAGAGTGGACTCACCACACACGGAAGGGGCTCTCCTCTAAGTTGCAGAAGTGGAAGGGAAGCAAGGGAGTCAGGGCAGACCGTCCTAGCTGAGGTGGGGACAGATCTGGGAGAGCTGAGGACATAGGGCTAAAGGGTGGGGAAAGGGGCTTGGAGTGCTGGGCTGGCGGTCTGAACGTCAGGCCTGGGGTGAGGGAACCTGGAAGGGTTGTCACGATGTGGGACGACGTCCTAAGTGACTGAAATCAGGTGCTGAAGGTGGGGGTGGAGGAAAAGAGGAGTGGGTGATTTGGGACCTCAGGGGAAGGCTGTTTTAGACAGCACGAAGAGGAGAGGACCCTATCTTACAGCTTCAGTAGCTGCGATGAAACACCACGACCAAAAGCAAGCTGGGGAGGAAAGGGTTATTTGGCTTCTGTTCATCATTTATGAAGTCTGAACAGGAACCCAAACAGGGCAGGATCCAGGAGTGATGCAGAAGCCAAGGAGGGGTGCTCCTTAGAATGCAGTACCACCTGCCGGGGTGGCTCCACCCACAAGGGGCTGGGCCCTCCCCCATCAATCACTAATTAAGAAAATGCCCTACAGCGGGATCTTATGGAGGGATTTTTCTCTATTGAGGTTCCGTCCTTTCAGATAACTCAAGCTTGGTCAAGTTGACATCAAACAAGCCAGCACAGCCCCCACCCCACCCCTGAGACGGGGCGGAAGGGTGTGGTGGAAGAGGAGCCTGGCATCAGCTCTGAGTGCCATGACCTATGTGGAAGGCTTCCTTGCTGAGGAGCCCTCTAACCTTAGAGGCTTCTATATATGGCAAATTTTGCCTTTCTGGATGTGCCGATGCCCTTGAGCTAAAGTCCTCCAAAAGCCCTCAGGATGGGTCAGGTCCCGGCCCCACAGATTGCCTTCGGCAAGCCTGGGTGTGAAAGACCCTGCATAAGACACAGTGCGTCGTGCCTCGGGAGAACTTCTGCCCAGGAAGACCCAGGTGTTTTCCAAGGAGGGAGTCCAGACTTGCTCAAAGCTTCTGAGTTCTGGATAGCTTGAGGTACGGGCGTTGGAGGAAAGGAAGGAACTGAGACCCCACTTGGGCACCTCGCAGCCAGTGTGCTCCGTTTTCACAGCCCTGCCTATGGGTGGTATCACCCCCACTTGTGGGTGAGCGAATAGGTTGGGGGAGAGGTGTCAGGTTACAAGGCTTAGTGATGGCGCAAACTCGGGTCCAAAGCCCGGGCTCTCCTCAAACAGCCAGGGGTGGGGGCCGGAAGGAGAGGTTGGGTGTTGCGGAGTCCTGGGAGAAGGAAAGGTGGGCAGGGCCAGGTGAGAAGAGGAGAAAGCTGGCGCCTAGGAGTTCAGGTGAAGAAAGTTGGGGGAAGATGGCTACAAGGGCCAGGAACTAGAAGGGAAAGAGGGCGCTCGGGGTGCAGGGCGAGGCGCGTAGGGGGTAGTGAAGATGGTGGTTTGGAAACAGGCCGGGCAGGTGAGGGGCACGAGTCCCATCGAACTCTGGCAGGGCAAGTGCTGTATCACTACAACCAGGAGTAAGGCAAGCAACCATGGCTGCGGCCTCCAGCGTTCGGGCAGTGGGGCTAGCGGCTGGTCCCGAGGCGCGCGCAGGTGAGGCCCCCGCTGGGCGGGGCGGACCGCCCACGCTCCGGGCTAGGCTCCTCACCCTTCACGTCCGCGTAGCCATGGCTACCGCCGGGTTGCAACAACCCCCACTTAATGAGAGGGGCTGATCACCCCCCCATCCCGGCTCTTCACAAACTCCGATCCCGCGGGACCGGAATGAAGGGTCCCGGGGGGCTGGGACCGCGCACCCCGCTCTCCGGGCTGCTTCCGGCCTGACCCGGGCGGCGCGCGGGGGGAGG